TTTGGTCCAAATTGGGTGCTGTCCATCCTGCCTATCTTCCATTTGTGGACCACATACTCCTGGCAGCAGTTTGTGAGTTGTGGACCTAAATTGTTTCTTCACTTACCTGCCAGGAAATGGAATAAAGTTAACCGGTTCCATTTCTCAAGGTCATGGGTGGATGGATGAATGTGTCCCCATGATGGGGTAGTCAGGTATGATCTTTCTCATGCATTTTAAAGCCTGCTCTGCCCACTGTCCTCTTCCTTTGAGAGAGACAATAGGGTCAGAGAATCCAGAGTGCTGCACATGTTTAGGAGGTGTTTTCACTGCATCCCCGGTTCTTGTCTGTGCAAAAACACACTCAGCCTGGGGTGGGGCTGAACCACAGGGCAAGAGGGAGGTAATCACCCCTACAAAATCCCCAATGTCAGCAACCATACACCAGAGCAGAAAAAGAAACAGCGGGAAGGTCCCATGGGCGGTGGGTTGTGGCCCCAGACCAGGGACGCTATTTTCAAATTTGCTACATAGGCTGCACAGAAGGAAAGACTGAAATGGAATTTCAGTCTTTCAGTGGCACGGAATTCCAAAGCAATATTGATGGAGGAGGGCGAGGTAGAGGAGGTGCTGCCGCTGAACTCAACCACTTTAGAAAGTGTGTCATGTCCCCTTTCTAAAGCCATCAAGCCTTGGAATCCCATTCTTCCAAGAATGCTGTGGATAAATCCGCTGAGTCCCACAAAAGCCCAGTTTTCAGTCCATGGGAAGCGCTAGCTACTAGTCCCCAGGAGTTCCAGCACTTCCTTTGCAGGGGTCCTGTTGGGAGGCAAAATAAATAAATAAATAAAAATCTTTCCTTATCTCCTCCTTAAAATGGGGGAGTCTAAAGCACTCAAAGCACCAGTATGTCTGTCCTTTATTCGCAAAGGGACCAGGATTCAAGATCACCTGACTATTGGAAGGACCTAGAAACAGTGGGACAAGTGCCAGCAGTCTGTGCTTTGGGGGGCACTGCCCACCCCCCTACACCTCCACACCCCCTCTCTCCCCATGAAACAGTTAGGAAGTTACTCAAGATTTTGCTATCCCTAGGAGGGGCTGGGCCTGGGTCACCCACAGTGAGACTGTGTGGCAGCTGTGCACATGAACCCCTCTCCACTCAAGGCTGGCACATCTTCTGAGTCTCAGAGGTCTCCACCTGCCATCATAGTCCCCATGAATAGAAATACTTGCAACTTTGCAGAGGCATGGGGTGTGCACCCTTCACACTTCTCCAGGTCAAAGAAAGGGGCTGTGGGGGACATGCATTTAAACCATCTGTCAAGTCTGGGGAGGTGCTGACCTCACTGTACCCTGCAGACTCTTCCTCCTTAAACAGGGATGTGACAGGCCAGAGCACATTCATAGAGGTAGGACTATTCCCAGCCACCTCATAAACACCCAGACTATGTCTGAGACCTGCCCAAACTTGGGGGGGGGGCGTAGAACAGGTCAGAACCCAAATAGGTTGAAGGCAGAGATATTGAAATTGAAGTTCACATCTAAAGTGCAAGGACCTCCAGAAGATCCCATGCTGCCTGGTCCCATTCCTCCAGACCCCAAAGGTTCAGAATCCTAGGGTCTCCCTCCACATTCCAGGGCTAGGGACCCTAGAACACTATGGGGGTGGGCATGGAGGACTCGAACTCCACATGCCTCCTCTTGCTGGGAGTAATCTAGCACCCTAACCAACACCCCACAGGAAAGTCAGCTAGAGGGAGCAGCAGTGGGAGACCTGAGTCTCTGAGATGAAAAATTATACCGGGGGTTTGGGGGGCGGGGGGGGGGGGTTGTAGGTGGTTAGAGCGATTTGTAACAGGCCCGAATGTGAGCAACTCTTCCCACCCTCCCGCCCCCCCCCCCACCACCACCCCAATTACTGGAAATCTTATCAGGGTTGAAAGAAGTAATGGGGTGTGTCAGACCAGATCAGCCTTGCAGATACACACAATTCTGGCTTTGTGGCCGTACCTCCCCCACCCCACCCGCCCCCTTGCCTGGTACAAGGTCCCTGGTCCCTGAGGCAGACAAACGCAGGACAGGCTGCCGCGGACAGTCAGCGTTTGGAGGCTGGAGTGCGCAGCCTGGCACAAGGAAAGTTTAGGAAAGCAGAGCCAAGTAGCAAGTAGGCAGGGTCCGGCGGTGTGAAAGTCCCGGATCTGCTTCTCCGGGTGGGGAAGAAACTGGAAGGTGCCGAAATAGCAGTGCGCTGTTTCTTACGTGGCTCGGAGTTAGCGTCTCTTTGTGCTGCTTGTGTTTGAAGTAGTGTGTGTGTGTGTGTGTGTGTGTGTGTGTGTGTGTGTGTGTGTGTGTGTGCGCGCGCGCGCGTGCGCGCGCGCGTAGCCGAAGTGACTATTACACCCCAGTGCCATGCGCACGTCCAGGCGCGCGCTGGTCGCCCTCGGTTTGCAGGCCCTGAAATGTGTCTGAGTTACCTTGTCCACAAGTTTAGCGCCATCAGGACCCCTGTTCTGAGCAGAGTTGCTGGTTTCTGCTTAAAGGAAAGCGATCGTGGGTGGCTTTTACGGGTGGGGGACGAGAGGTGGCTGGGGGAGCAAATCCCCTAAGGTTGGCGGGGTAGGGCTGCGTAGCCCGCGCTCCCTCCGAGGAGCTCCATCCCTGCAGACCCTGGCGACCCTGCGCGCCCGCCTTCGCCCGCGCCAGAGAAACATCGGCCTGGCTCTCAGAATGTCTGGCATCCCCGCCGCTGACGGATGAGCGCCAGCGGGAAGATTCCCGAGCAGTGCCTGGAGAGCCTCCGCGACGCAGACCCCACCGCCCGGAGAGGTAACTGCGTTCCGCGCAGCTCTCCTTCACAGCGAGCTTGAAACCTCCGGAGCTGGGGCTATTCCGTTCCCGTGAACACGTGTAAGGGCGCGGGAGGAAAGGCCGAGGTCGAATTTCGCGGGAGGATTTCAGAAAGGAAGGTGGGTTGGAGAAAAAGGATGCATGAGCATTGAGGGGCGTCGCGTCTCCCATCCCAGGTGCCCACCAGCAGCTCCTCGGAGTCTGTTCGCATCTGGCCAGCATCAGCGAAGGTCTCTCACCTATCGCCTCTTCAAAGCCCCTGAGCGATGCTTTGAAAACCCCGGACCCAGGTTGAGAAGGGAGGCAGCGGGTTGGAATAGCGGTCAGATGCGGTTTGCAAAAATCATCAGTACTCACTCCTCTATCCTTTTCTCCATTGCAGCGCCTCACCGAGCATAAATACTAACCCGAGATCTCTGTAATACCAAAACTGGGTTTAAATGCGTGAAGATTCCTTGATCTTGGGACTTCCTGGTTTCAAATTTTCATCGGGGGGGCTCAGGGAGCGCTGATGGGGCTGCAGGAAACCAGTTTCCATAAGGAGGGCTTCATTGGAGGTGCTACCTGCACTGGAGTAGCAGAGCCACTGGAGAGTTGGGAGGAGTTACCATGGCCAGGGGCCAACCACAATAGTGGTTCTCCCAAAACTGGCTTCACATTTAGGGATAACAGCCTACTTACTGGCGTGTCACATCTGAAGCCTTCCTACGCTTCAGACCTTCCTCTACTTTTGCCTGACCCTGACAGGCTCCCCTCTCCCAACTATGCACATTCCTCTAGGAATTCAGCTTGAGGCAGGGAGGCAGAGAGGTCAGCTGGAGCAAGAAAGTTCTGCCTCCTTTCAGGAAGTTTGGGACTCTGAAATTTGTTTGCCCAGGCATGGAGAAGGCTAAATCTGGGCCCTCAAGTTAGCCCTGGTGTGGAACACGGGACTTTGAATGTTCCTGATCTGATGGGTCCAAGGGGGGGGGGGGGGGGTTGAAGCTCAGGAATGCCTGGAACCTTCTTCAACTCTGCCCAGGGGACCTCATTGACCTCAGCATGTCTGGGTGCACCAACTCAGCAGCCCACTTTGAGTGACAACTGACTCCCTGTGTGGATACTGGGCCTGGAAGAGCCCCACGCTCACGCCCCAGCTTCAGTGTCAAACACGGAGGGGATCTGGTTCGTTGCCAGGATCTGTTTGTTCTCAGCTTCCAAAATAGCTTTGTGCCTACTCCGTGGACCACTTCTAGACTAGAGGATTAGGAGAGCGGGAGGGGTCGTTCTGGGTGAAAAGTTTGACTCTGCAATGTTTGAAGTCAACCAGCCTTCAGCCAAGTGACAGACAGATTAGCGACTCTCCAGCTGCAATAGAATAAGGGAATCACTTCTCAACTTTACCCGGAGGATCAGAGCAAAAAGAGCTCAGCTCTGCGCTCAAGTGGCAGTCAGTCAGCAAGCTGGATTCTTCTTACCAAGCTGTACAATTTACCAAGTTGCCTGGACTCTTGTTAACTGGGAGGAGGTGAGGGCAGTTTTAGACCCCTCCCTAGACTGGTATGAGCCAGGACAGCAAACCTTTCTGACACATGATTGTTTTATCATCTCTAGTAGGTAGATATATGGGGTGCGGTTTGAGGGGACACTGCTTCAACCCCCTACCTCAGGAAGTTGGGGGGTGGGTTGTGCTGGAGTTGCCTGCCCAGGTACCAAGCACTGACCCAGCCCACTGCTACCCCAGGCCCAACATCACTGAAGCAGTACCACCCCAGGGAAGTGGACTGTGCAAGCACATTACACAGCACTGTCCCGGAAAGAGCCACCTCCCCTCCAGCATTGCCCAGCTGACTCCATATCCAATTGGACTGAACAACACGCGAGCTTCCGGGACATGTCTAGGAGACCTCTGACCTGCTAAAAACGCTTAGCAAAGCACCCCCCCACTCCCTACGTATATACACAGTCACTTCGATTTAAGCTCTGGTGGCTCTTTCCCAGCTACTGCCAAAAGTAGTTTTGGGACTGGGGCATCCTAGATCCCTCTTTCAAACACCTCCTCAGCCCAGCTAGCCAAGCGGTCTTTACAAATCGTAGTAAACGTTTTATTTACAAAGTTGAGGCGTCCGAAGTGCAGCAACATCTTGGCACCACGACCCCTGGTGCGGGAGAATTTTTCGTAAAAACACGTCACAGTGTGAGTGAGGGGCTTGCAAGGGGTGAGGGGTGAGTGTTCGGTGGGCATTGGGTGCCTCCGGCCGGGTGCGGAGACCCCCCGCCCCCCCCCACACACACACACTCTGCTCGGAGCAGTGAGGGCTGCACCCAGCGGGGGCTGCGCCCGGGATCAACGTGCCGGCAGAGGCGCCCGGAGGAGGCAGGGCGCGCGCCCTCGGTCAGTCCCAGGCCCCTGCACTTTCGTCCAGTCTATAGACCGCCGAGGGGTGCTTGGGCCGGCTCAGGGCTTGGCGGGGCACTGCTGGCGGCGGGCTGCGGCTCCGGGAGCAGCTCGGCCGCGCCGCTAGTGAGGCTGCCGGAGGCCCCCGCGCTGGAGCTGCAGCCGCTGCCGCCGCTGCCGCCACTGCACCCGCTGCCCAGGCCGCCGAAGCCGAAACTGCCGCCGCCGCCGCCGCTGCCGCCGCTGCCCGTGCTGCCGGCCGCTAGCAGGGCGCCGGACGCCGGGGCCTTGATGACCGTGGTCGGGGGCAGAGCTCGCTCGACGGCGGCGGCCTCAGTCCGCTCCGTGTCGCTGGTGGCCAAGTCCAGGGACTCAGAGTCGCTGCTCTCGCTCTCCGCCTCGCCCTCCGAGCGGCTAGGGCTCCGCTCCTCCGCCTCGCCGTCCCCCGCCGCCGCGCCGCCCGACGGCTTCTCGCCGGCCTCCTTGTCTTTGTCCTTTTGGGCCTGGGCTTCCTTGGAGTGCCGCCACTTCATGCGCCGGTTCTGGAACCACACCTTCACCTGCGCGCCGCCGGGAACAGCAGAAGGGAGGAGGAGATAAGGCTCGGGCTCTCGCCCCAAACTCACATGCGCCGCCCCAACCACCACCCTACCCCCCCCCCCCAGCCTGAGAAGGCGGGTACGCACAGCTAAGCATCCCACCCCACCCCCACACTGCACCTTGACCCTAGACCTGGCACTGCGTGACGCGCTGGGTGCTAGAGAGGGTGGCCGGGGAGACGGGAGGGATGCTAGCTTAGGGATGCCCACGAGGGCCGGCTCTCACAAAACCGCCGGCATCCTGAGAGTATTCTTGGGGAGAAATAACCTTCTATCTCCAGCGCAGAGGAAGGATTGACCCTCTCAGTGGATTTTGGGGTGGGGTGGTGGGCCACACCCTACGGTGCTCAGGGCTTACTCCTGGCTCTGCACTCAGGAATGACTCCTGGCGATGCTCAGGGGACCATACGGGATGCTGGAGATCAAACCTAACAGGGTCATGTGGAAGTCAAGCACCCTACCCACTGCACTATAGCTTCAGTCACATCAGGAGATGTTTCTTAATAACACTCTTTCAGGAGCTCCTGAGAAATCTGATGTAAATACAGACCACTCACCCAGACGGGTTCGGGTAAACTAAACTTGGTGCACCCAATTTCAGGACTTAAAAAAATCCTGCTAACCTGGTCCTCCTCCACTGCCACTCTTCAAGGGAGTCCCTACAAAACCAGCACACTTTTAAAGAATCATGGAAGGAGAGAAGGGGTTGGAAGGTATTTTGTGTGTGTGTGTGTGTGTGTGTGTGTGTGTGTGTGTGTGTGAGTGTATGTTGGGAGGGTGTCACATTGAACCTTCTGTAGAAGAGCATTTCCTGAACAGAAGTACCCAAACACTGACCTAAGTATCTGCCCCAAGCCCAGAACTGAGGGAGCTCCCAGCAGGCCAAGAAACTGCAGGAATTAAACCTGTCCACAGTGGAGGAAGGAGGTGGAGGAAGGTGCATGTAGGGATGGGGTGGAGAATCGATATAGATATAGATATAGATATAGATATAGATATAGATATAGATATAGATATAGATATATAGATATATATGATCCCCCTGAGGGACCCGAGGGTTCCATACAAACTCCGGCTTCCCTTTTAAAAGTAACATCCACAGCTGGTGGAGAACTTTGCTGTGGAGGGGAGGGAGCTGTGTAAGGAAGACAATGTGGGGGTGGGGGCCCGGGGAACCCTGAAAAAATGCCCTTCTTTGGGCACACTCAGAAGCTGGGGAGCTTGGAAGAACAGATCCCCTCAAGTTTTCAAAATTCAGAAGAGGGAACAAAAGCAGAGGTTCTCTTGCATTTGAAAAGAAAATAAATGCAGGCACAGTCTTTGCTGTTGTCTGGGAGAGATGTTGGGACCGCAGGGCCGGTGGAATGGCTGCTGGCTTGGCTCCCTCTAAGAACATTTCTCCCCCCTCCTCCCCTGCAAGTCCACAATCCTCCACCCCAGAATTCTGCTCCGTGTTTATGCTGCTTTGGAAATGATGGAAATGCAACTGGCTCTGAGCACTCCAAGCGGACTCCTCATCCTACAGGGGCTAAGTAATTCCGTTTGAAATGATGTTTTCACTTCCTCACACTGTGATTTCACAATCCAGTGGCAGGAGGAGGGAGGGAGGAGGAGACAAGAATCACACATACACACACACACACACACACACACACACACACACACACCAACAATTTCTTAACTTTAGATTCTGGTCTCTTCCGAAATAAACTGCCTCCTATGGCAAATTGTGCTACAGTTGAGTGGTACATAATTATTATCTCCCATAGCCTGTTTACTTTCTCAGCGGTTCTTTGGCCTGTTGGCCAAAATAAACATGCAGGGCCTGCTGACATACATGTTTGGGGACGGGCCTCCGTCTCTGTTGCCTTGAGTTGAGAAATCCCCCGGGTCTCGGGTCTCATGAAATCCAAGACCCGTCCTTCCACCGTACTAGGAGAGAGCATGGCCTCGGGAGAGGTTGTGCACGGGGCCAGCCCCAGCCGGCTTACCTGCGCATCGGTCAGGCCCAGCATCGCTGCTAGCTGCTTTCGGTCTGGCTTGGTCACGTACTTCTGAATCTCAAACCTCTTCTCCAGGCCTTTCCTCTGCAGATTGGAGAAGACTGCCCGTGACCAGGAGCGCTTCCTCTTGTAGGTCTGCGGCATGGTGTCCTTGGTGAGTACAGCATAGGGACCTGCGGCCAGAGAGGGCCCATGGCCCTGTGAGTGTCCCCTGCCATTGCTGCCCGTAGACCCTGGGGCTCACTACATTGGAGGTGCCAACAGGGTTTGTGTGTGTTTGTGTGTGTGTGTTTGTGTGTGTGTGTGTGTGACTATCAGGAAATCTTGTAGGCACTTAAGGAGTGAGTGGACAGTAGGCAAAAGGCCTGTCAGCTCAATATCGCCTAAAACAAATTTCTGAATATCAGAAGAAGAGGTTAAAAGTGTCCCTCGGGATCTAAATAATTGAGATGACAATAACACACACACACACACACATACACACACACACATACAGCCTGTCTCTGTCTGTGTCTTTGCATGCTTGTGCCCAGTGGGGCAATCAACCTCTTGGGGCAAAAGTTCTAAAGGTCACCCCCAAAATGTGTGCCCGTAGATTAGCAAATTCCTCTGGACACTGTATACTCATCACACCCTTTCCCTGGGGGCTAAGAAATGCACCCCACCCCAGTCCAAGCACTTTAGCTCCCCTATACCCCTTCCCACCCCAAACCCAGAATCCTCCAGAGGGTCAACTTCTTCAGGGACTTGGACACCTACCGGACCACTTGGGATTGCCACACTGCCAGGAGCCCGTCCTCCCTATGGATCTGGGTACCTCCTGCACCCACTCTGGTGTTGCCACATTGCCTGGAGTCACAGAGGCCACAGAGCAGCCCCCTCCCCCCCCCCTCAGTTTTCTCTCCATTCATCCTGGGAAGGGTTCCCTACCTGGAAATGTGTCTTGAAACTGATGCTGCACTGAGTTTCTTGGATTGGAGCTTAGGGGACTCAGGATGGCTGAAGCCTCATTGATGGGCTCTAGAGACGCGAAGAATTGGCCAGTGGAGGGCTGCAGGCTGGGGAGACGCACCCCCGCCGGCCGGCCACTGGTGAGCAGGGACGTCAGATCTGGGAACCAGGGAAAAAAAGCCCTTTATGCCTGGGAAAATCCACACACACCTGCCTCGCTCCTCTCTTCTAGCCCTTCTCCTCCCCAAGGTTCTCCCAAAATGCAGCCAGGAGACAACCCACTCTCCTGACAGCGACCCAGGGGGCAGAACCCTGTGCTGAACAGCACGCCCTGTCCTCCTGACAGCAAGAAAGGAGCTTCGAATCCAGGCCCCAAACCAAGTTCCTATCAGGGACTTTCAAGAGCCCCCCGCCCACCTCACCCCGTTAGAAAGAAGCCCCCCAGTGTTGGGGTAGGGGGATGTCAGAGATGATTTTGTTTATCTACATTCCTTGGGTGAAATTAGATAAAAGGGGTTGTCCCTCAAAGGGCTCTCTCCCTGAGCATATAGTGTCTCTCCCAGCCTCTGGATATGCCATCAAAGGAGGAAAACAAAAAGCCCACGAGAACCGTTGGCAAATATTTGCGCCAACCGTTGCAGCTAATATAAATTCTCCGGGGGTTATTTGGAAAGCGGCTGGTCCGGAAGCCGTTTTCCTTTCTTTCCCTCTAAACCTAGAGCAGGTGAGTTTTAAATCTAGTGCGTGGTTGTCTTCTAGTGCCTCTCCCTCATACTCCCCATTTGTCCTTAATCCCAAAGCACTCAGAGGCACCCCGGACTGGCCCGGGGAGGGGTGCTGAGCGCGCCGGGGGACAGGCTCAGCCCCGCCTGCCGCCGCCGCTCTCCTCCAACACCTACCTCTTAGCGTGTTGCCTTCCTTGACTTTGGGGTCAAATTCTGCAGACAAAATGCGGTCAATTCCAAATTTGAGGTCCTTGCTGGAGGGCGCCGGGACCGAGCCGCTCTGGTGGGCGTTCGGAAGCGCTCGGGCCGGGGCCGCGGAGGGCGGAGGCTGCTGCGGGGCGCCGGGCCGGGCCGAGGGCTGCGTCTGCGGCGGCGGCGGCGGTGGGTGATGGTGGTGGTAGGCGGCGGAGAGTGGGGACAGCCGCGGCGGGAAGCCTGCCGGGACTTCGGAGGGCGCCACCACCGGCGTGGGCCGCAGCGGGGACCTGGCGGCCGTCTGGAAAGAGGCGTGCGGGTGCGCCGAGCCCAAGTGCGCGGTGAGGGCGGCGGCCGAGGCCCCCACCAGTCCCTCCGGAGCCGCCCCCGGCTCCCCGACGCCGGCGTGCAGGATGTCCGCGATGCAGAACGAGGGTTTCTTGACGGCCGCGGGGTCCAGCGGGAAGGAGCAGCCGCCCGGGCCGGCCGAGGAGCAGTACGCAGCCGACCAGAGGCTGAAGTTGGAGGCGTAGAAGGGAGCCAGCCCGGCGGCGAACATGCTGGCGGGCGGCGGCGAGCGGCCGCCGCGGCCTGGCCGGGCTGGCAGGGAGCGCGGGCAGGGGCGCGCGAGGCCCGCCCCGGCGATCGGCTCTCGCTTCTCGGCCCGCAGCCGCCCCCGCGAGGCCCGGACCGCGCTCGCGCTCGGCCTCGGCCCCCGGCGGCGAGCGGGGGGCGCCGGGGCCGCGGCTCGGCACACGCCAGGGGAGCCGGGGAGCCGGGGGCCAGGCGCCGAAAAGAAAAACCCAAACAGCCCGGAGAGCTAAATTTAAATCAACAACAATAATAATCCGTTGGTTACAAGGAGAGGGAGGGGGAGAGAAAAAAGTAATATGAAGGGGAGGGGAAAAAAAAAAAGAAAAGAAAAAAAAAAAGTCCTCTCTAAAAACTCCCCAAGTTTTGGCAGGAGCTGGCGAGTCAGACCCGGGGTAGGACCTCGATCCGCGCGCTCATTGGCTGTCCCGCTGACCAATGGGAGCCGCGAGTGGAGGGGCATTGGGAAAAGTGGGGCGTGGCCCGTCCCCCCAGCCACGCCCCGGCCACGCCAAACTGCCGCTGCCGCGTGGGCCGAGCCGGGCCGGCCGCTGCTCTGCGCCGCGCTGGGGCCCGGGCACGGCTCGCGGCGATCCCGACCCGCCACTGGCTCCCGCGCGCCCACCCCGAGCCCGCCGCGCTCAGGACACAGTCCCCCAGAGCGCCCGCGGCGGCGCGGGCCCGGGCGAGACTAGTGCTCCCAGATTATCGAGGTGCAAGCCTGCTCCCGGGAACGCGCTGGCGGGCCCCTCGGCGCGCGCCCCCACACTCCGTCTTTCCGTCCCTGGGACTCGGTTTTCTTTCTTTCCGCCCTTCATCCCCAGTGGTCTCGATCTCTGCCAGGCGACCTCTGCGGGTGGCTGCCCCTGGCCCACGAGACCCAGCCGCGAGCTAGCGCGCCGCAGTGCCATGGCCACTACCCATGTCAACTCCGTGTGTCGCGAGCGGTGCAGACCATCCTCCGGGGGAGTGACGCGGTGGGCGCGCGTGAGCTTTATTCCCAGCTGTCACGCCGTGACAGCTTGAACTAGTGACTTTTCAAACAAAATAAGACGGATGTCTCAGAACGTCGCCCGGGAATCAGATATCATCCCGCCACTCCCCAACTCCATCCCGGAGGCATCAAAACAAGCCGAGGACGACGCCCGGGCGGGCTAGCGCGTCAGTGTTCCCTCGGAGCCCGCACCTTGGAGAAAATGTCACCCTCACTCCACCGCCACTTCCCCGATCACGGGGGGCCCGTTTTTTGCAAGTGCCCGCAGGAGCAGATTTCCGTGGGTTCTCTGCGGCTTTTAGTTCGACCAGTTTCCCCCCAGGAAGCCGTGGGCCTGGTGGCTGAGGAGCCCGGAGCTGCCAAAGGCTCCAGCGGGCGCCGAGAACCTTTACAGCCAGCGTAGGCTGAGGGTGGTGGGGGCGGCGCTCCTGCAGCACCAATATCTCTATTTTTAAAGTTCGTTCTCTTCTAAATTATAGTCAAGAATGGATTTCCCCGTCTCTCTACCAAACAAACCACAGGCCACCCAGATAAACTCTTCTTGCACATTTTTCAGGAAGAAAATAAAATAATGATAGTAGTAATAATAATAATGAAACCACGAGATCTTTTGTTTTCGATGAACCTAATCAGCCGCTCTTAACGGTGTTTCTGTGCTTCTGTGACATTTCTCCCCTTACCCCCAGATTTTTCAATATACTTTCGATATATCTTCTGGGGTGTGTTTTTCTGTTTTGACTTTACTTCAGCACGAAGACGGCTTACTAAAGAAAGCCAGGCCGGCAAATGAACTCCTGAAGGCAGGATTGGAGTTAATTATATTCATTGCCAGTGGTGTCTAGCTCTGTCTGTGGATGCTGTCATTTTAAGCTTTTGACTTTCTTCTGGAAATTCATCAATCAGAAATCAGTCACTTCCGACCTGTGGCACCAAGATCTCTCCCCCTCCCGTCCCCTTTTTGGAGTTTCTAGCCCTGTGTCTTGCATCCTGGGCAGAGGTATTATTTCCAGGATAGGAAGCAGCATGGCTGTGATCAGTTACGGAGGTGATTGGAACAAGGGCTTAGGAAGACTAGTCCTGTGCAAGAACAAGGCCCCCCTCAAGGCAGCGCCGAAGTCTCCTTGAAAGATTTTGGAGGGTAGCGGAGACATGCAAAGGTTGAGGACTCTGACGACCTTCTGGTGGGAAAGGCTTGGGAGAGTCATCAGCGAACCCTCCTCTCCCTCTCCAACTGTCTCTTCCAACTCGATTGTTTTCCAGTTGTAAGGCAAACAGTCCCGAGGCAGCCGGGGTTCTGAAAGAGCCGCCTTTTCGTTCCTCATCCCCAGACCTCCTGAATCTCTCCCATCCGGCTAAGGCCGGGACCCTAGATGGTGGGCGCGGGCCGCAAACGCCCCCGGCGTTCCAAGGTCCTCGTTGCGCAAGTGCAACCCTTTGAGGACCAGAGCTCAGGGTTTGGGGCGGTTGCATCCGCCAGACCTCCAGGCTCTGGGTGCTTTAAACTGCAACTTGGTGCGCGCGCCCCTGCGCGCTCCACAGCTCCCGGCTGCGGCGCCACCCGCTTTCGCCGCGAGCTCTGGAGGGGAAAGGCGGTGAGGAAAACGTCCAAAACGACCCTCGGGCTCCCTCACATCCTAACTCCCCCCCAGGCCCAGGCCGCGACGCCGGCGGCCCTTGGCTGGTTCAGAGCTCCCGCAGACTCGCCTCCTCTTTGCTCCCCACCCCGCAGACCCAAGAAGGCGGCAGGAAACCCTGGGCTCGCCGAGTTCAGGTCATCTCCTGTTTTGTGATGGGCTCAAACTCGGACTAAATGAGCGGATGTGCCTGCGAGATTGGTCTCAAAATAGAAGCGGCCTTAGTATTTTAGGATACTGCCGAAATCCTTATTTCTTCCGGAGAAAAACTCTATAATGATTCTTAGCACTTCCCCTTTCAATATTTGTGCGACTTTATCTCCACCGACAAGTTGCTCGGGTGACGCAAATCCGCCCTTGTGTATTACAACTACCAAAATAAATGCACGGAAATCAATTCCCTTCTAGCAATGAAAATATAAATATACAGCTGCGACTTTCCCCTTTAATCTTTGCTTTCCGAGCGGCTCCTGGCTGGGGCGAAATGAACTGCAGTGGACCTATTGAGCCGCTGGGGAGGCCCTGGGGGCAGAGGGCTCCAGGGCCTGGGAGCTGCCGGACTCCCGCAGCAGTGAAAAGGGCCCAGCAAACCCGACTTAACTTGAGCTTCCTTCAGGGCGCCTGAGCTGCGCTTTGGGGGTGCTCTGTTGGAAGCTGTCTAGTCCGTGGCAGTGGAGGCACCCGCAGATTACCTCCTACAGCTGGAGCCCCGGAGTCCTCGTTGGTCCGAAAAGGTCTTTGAAGAAGCCACAAGGGCAGGGGGTTCAATTCTGGTGACTCTCTTTAGTGTCTACAACAGTTCACTTAGCCTCTGGTGGGTAAATGCTAAAACTCATTCACATTCCGGGCATAGACAAAACCAGACCAGGTCTGTTTCGTAAGTAGGAACCTGGATTGTGAGGATTTCAGATGGAAAGGCGGGGCTGAACCAGAGGTGAATACATTGGCTGGCGTGAGAGGTCGTCTCTCTCTTCAGGACACCCCCTCTGCCCTCATACTTAAGTCACTAGGGCCAATGCTTGTCATGAACCTGGGCATGGATCCGCAGCCGCTAACAGTGTGGAGTGAATGCGGAGCTTTGCTTCTCACCGGACTCGGACTCCGCTAGGGTTCCAGCCACGCAAACCTGGGGCCAAACCAAGTGGAGAATGAATGGATGAGCAGGCAAACCCCTACCCTGACATTTAAAATGTATTTTAAGCTAGGCATTCCTTGGTTCAACCCCTAAAAGAGGTGGAAATTCAGTCTGAAAGAGAAAGCAACCTAGTTTAGCCAGCTAGTGAGGATTTGCAAGATTTGCAAAGTCTGAATCTGCTGTCTTTGGCTTGGATTCTGCCAGCTGAAGATTAATAGTGCCAGACCCGCCGTTCAAAGGAGCATTTCTGTTCCTTGTGGATTGTGGATACTAAATAGTAGAGTTTAGGATTCTAAAGAACTTCCTCTCTCTCTTTCTCTCTCTCTCTCTCTCTCTCTCTCTCTCTCTCTCTCTCTCTCTCCCTCCCCTCTCTTCTCTCCCTCCCTCTCTCCCTCCCTCCCTCCCCTCGGATTATTCTAAGTAGGCCACAACTCCCTTTTCCTGGAGATTTTAATTATTCCAGAACTAAAGAAAGTTTCAGCATTTTGAAACCATAAAACGGGGCAGAGAAGATAAGCCACACTTAGATCAGAGCATGATAATCAAACTTTTTTCTTCTTCCTTTACCCCTTTCCTCAGACATGGCAGACTCAGACTGAAAGGAGGAGTGACTTTGTGACCTTGGTCCTACCCTTGCCTTCTTGGCCACAGAGCAAGCTTCAGAACTCCAATAGTCCTTTGGGTCTCATCTCACTTGCTCATTCCACTCAGTTTCTCTAATATATGCTTTCCCCGTGTGCTAGGATATACTTGTGGCACAAACATCTCTCTCTCTCTCTCTCTCTCTCTCTCTCTCTCTCTCTCTCTCTCTCTCTCCCATTTCAAAATTTGTGCCTGTCTCTCCAAGTTGTCTTGATATTCATCCAAGAAATCCCTTGACCTCTTAACACTGAATGATCCAACCCATTGATTTCAGTGTGGCACATTGTAACACAGTGAAACATAGTTCACTGCATATATTGGCAGTGATTTTCTTTCCCCAGAAGAGTAAAACTGGACAGACCAGCTTTAACCTGTGAGATATTGAGCAAGTACTTGGTTCTGCAGGCTTCTGTGTGGTAAATGGCATTACCTTAGCTTAGTGCATCAGCCTGGCAGAAGTTGCATTCATCACCTGGATTATTCAGTTTGAGTAGCTCAGGTTTTGTTTCTAGCAAATAAGTTAAAGTTAAGGAAAGATAAAGGCTCTTCAATAAGAACCATATATTGGAGACTACACTAGTGTTGAGAGGAGGAGAGGAAGGTCTCTTTCAAAGCAGTTTCTTTAA